CTTGGACCAAAAAGATTAACATATGTACCGGAAGACCACTCTGATATGAGTATATCTTTTTACTGTTTATTTATGATTATTAGTTATTATATGATTTCCAAGATCATTTCACTGTACAAGCGGCATTTGGCGGGGAAATATTTATCAACTAATATTACAGATCACTTATTTCAACTTAGCGAGAATACCTGTGAGCTACTATAGTAATAATAATAACAATAATAATAATTTTTATTGGAATGTTTATACATAAAAATATAAAAACGACAACATTCCAAAAGGAAAGAGGATCGGCAGCGCCATTTTTTTCACCTCCCCCTAAAAAGTTAACTTCATGAGCGTTTTTTAACATCAACAGAATATAATACGATATAGTCTGAGTGTTAATGGAGGGTAGTGTAGCAAGCGCCATAAATTTAATTTGTGGATTCAAATCTTTGCAGCTGTAGTAGCACTTTTTCCATCTCATTTCTGAAGTTTTGGATGGAAGGTGCTTCAAAAAGTTCTAAATGATCGTTTAGTAGATATGGTGCCGTGTAAGTAAAACATTTTTTGAATTTAGATGTTGTATGAACTGGAATATTGAAGTATTCCTTGTTGCGTAAGGAAACTTGGCGAAGTGAACATCTCTTCTGCAAAGCAATAAACAGATGTCTGGATAATTTATATTTTAAAACTTTATATAGTACAGTTCCATACTGAAGTAATACACGATATTTGAATTTTAAAAGATTTTCTCTCACATCCAGTAATATGTTCTTGTATATGTATATCTTTGAAACAGAATCTCATGCAGCAGTTTTGTAATACTTGAATTTTGTGCTTTATTTCTTCCGTAAGAAAATTATAATATACTGTAGCGCCATAGTCTAGATGAGTGAGGATTAGTGCATTGGTAAGCCTTAATTTTATATCACTGGTTAAATCATGTTTGTATCTCCAAAGTGACTTATATTTACAATAGCATACTGGAAGTTTATTAATGACATGGTTCTCAAAATTTAAATTTGTGTCCAACAAAATGCCTAAATTCTTAGTCTCCTCTACAATTTCAACAGATGTATCACCTAAAACAATGGCTGTACTCATCAATCCTTTAAATTTTGAAATAATTAACTTTGAACCAATGCAGCAAGCTTTAGTTTTTGTGGGATTCAGATTCAAACAATAATTTTTGGAATAGTTTGCAATCATTTAATGGACCTAATACACTTCCTTGCGGAACACCAGAAATTACATTTTGTAAAGTGGACATTTTGTTAAATATCTTTGTGCATTGGGATCTGCCAGTCAGGTAGTTGTTGAACCACAGTCAAGCATGACTAGACAAACCATGATATTGTAGCTTTTTACATAATACTTCATGGTTGAACATGTCAAATGCCTTACTGTAATCTAACATCATCAATACGGTCACCATACCATCATCCATGAACTTGACTATATCGCTAGTTACTTTTATAAGCGTTGTGGATGTGTTGTGTAGTTTTCTGAATCCCGACTGTGTATCGGGAAGGACTTCATTTAATTCTAGATGGTCACGAAGTTGGTCAGCTACCACTTTCTCTGCAAGCTTGGACATCACAGGTAAGGTGCTTACTGGTCTCAAATCCTTCATCTGTATAGCGTTATTGATTTTTCTAGTTTGATTTATGATATCCGTTATTTCACTTTTGCAAAAAGAAAATACATTTTTCAGCATGCTTGTGGTAATACCATCTATACCAGCAGCATTTGATTTCACTTCCCTCAGTTTCTTTTCAATATCATCAGATGTAACTAGATGGAACGAACTTTTAGTTACGAGTGACTTTTTCTGCCCAGATTAAGTGTTAAGAAATAAACTCATCAGGTTGAATGGTTGGCAACGAGTTCACAAAGTGATTGTTGATGGCTTCTGCGTCTTCAATGCCCTGAGATATCTGATTAGTCGATTTTTGATGTATATTCCGTTTAGCGAAGTCTTTCCATACTTCTATAGTTGCTTGGGATTATTCCTGTTCTTATTTAGTTGATATTTTATATAAGCTGTTTTTTCATTCATCAAAGCCACACCTGAGTAATTTCTAAGATCGTTATAAAACAATTGATCTGTTTCAGATCTAGTTCTTTTAAATTTATTGTAAGCTTTTCGTTTTAAATTTATTATACATTTTAATGTATAGGTGACGTACGGCCTGTAGAACTTATGAGGTGTAATTCTTTTCATCGGAGCGTGTATGTCATACAGCAAGGTAATGTTCTCAGTAAGATGGAGGTCTTTATCATCAAGACTTTGTAGATTATTTGTATCATGCCAGTTCACAGCAGTTGCATCCTCAGCAAATTTATCATAATTAAAGTGGGAAAAGTCACGACAATAAAATGTTGTAAGAGTGTATTCTGGAATTTCAATCTTCAATTCACAGAAGCATAACCTGTGATCAGTTATATCTCCCATGCCTATAGTGCCACTCTTGCGCACATGCACTGTATTTAATACAAAAATTACATCAATCACTTACCCCCCTAAAAAGGCGTCAAGTAGGTACACTCTGTACTGCATCATGTGCAATGTTATTATATATTTTAATGAGATTTTAGAAAAGTAACACCTTTATCAAATTGGGTAACCTCAAATTTCGACCTGGAATGCCTCTTTGTTATTACAGATTGAGAATGATACTGAAAATCTGATAAAATATAAACTAGTCGGTATAAGATTGGAGCTGAAAGTCAGAGTAAACGCTCATAAGTTTTAGCTTGCTTGCTTAGACGACTTGTTAAAGAACGATGTTCCGTCCACCTCAAGTTGGCAACCATTCTAATTCATTCAGTGTGACTCAAGTTACGAAGAATCTAAAGCACTAGAAGATCCACTCCTTGAATATTATACTGCATCTGTAGCAGGTGATCATGACACAAAAATTAAACACAAAAAAGTGAATCTTGCACTTCTATGCTTGTATCTGTATAGTAAGCCATTACTCGGGTCTTACTAAATTTTCTTCATTTACATCCATTAGTGAGTCTATCGAAGAAGAGAGGCCAGGCGTGCACATGCGATTTTCGGTCGCACGACTGAAAAATCGTGATCGCGGAAAAATGTATTTACAATTTTTTGAGCGCACACTTGCGATGAATTAGCCCTAACTACATTCAGTACCATCATGGATTTTATTCAAACTGCTTGTGTGGTTGCGCTGATATTACGAAATAAAGCCAAAACACGACGTAAAAAGCAATACTGGGTACATCCACTGATAAGTCAAAGATTGCTGAAAGGCCAATAAAATTTATAACGACTTAAGAGATCATCCTCATACATTTTTTTAATATTACAAGATGAGTGTGAACAGTTTTGATGAATTACTTCAAAGAATAGGACCGAAAATAACATATCAAAACACTAAGTGGAGAAATTCTGTGCCACCTGAAGAGCGTTTATCGGTCACATTGAGGTAAGTATGAATATACTAAGTGACATATAAATCCGAACACCCAGTTTAAATGGTTTTATTTTAATAAAAGTTGGTGAATGTATTTATCTTACTGTAAATAACAAGTGAAAAATTTTTCAGCCTTATCAGTTGGACATTCCGGTTTTTATACTGATTTTTTTTAATTCACTAACTCTCTAAAAATGAATATTTCAGCCGCAGTAAAGAATCAACGTTGGCGGATTTTGGTTCTTGACATCCTTTACGATCGGTTACGATGCCTAGAGTACGGAGACCTGTACGATTTCGTCAACTTAGTGAGTTTGATAGGGGCCGTATAGTGGGACTTCGGGAAGCTGGACATTTTTTTCGGGCAATTGCAGTTAGAGTGCAAAGAAGTGTAGACACTGTGGTTAGGTGTTGTGAGGCATGGCTTCGAGAAGGTCGTACGTAAAGAGCAAGGGGCACTGGACGCCGTCGTAGAACAACAGACCGTGAAGATCGCCGCCTAAGATTATTTTTTCCTTAAGGGACAGTTTCTCCACTACCAGGTCCATTGCAAATGAATGGTTTGCAGAACACGGAAGACCTATTGGCATGCGAAGTGTTTACCGACGAATGAGAAGTTTTGGCTTGTTTTCATAACGGCCACACTGGGTCCTCCCTTTAACTCGAGAACACCGACGTAATCGCCTTGAGTGGTGCAGACAACGGTCACTCTGGAATCAGGAATGGAACAGTATTGTCTTTAGTGACGAGTCTCGATTTTGTTTAGGCATGCACGATGGTCGTGCCAGGGTTATAAGGCGACGTGGTGAAAGGAGGAATCCTCAGTTTTTTGTTGAAAGACATGTTCATCACACTGTTGGAGTTATGGTTTGGGGTGCTATAGCTTATGGTTCCAGATCACCTTTAATCTTCATCAGAGGTAACATGAACGCGCAGCGTTATATCCACGAAGTTCTAGAACCCAATCTTTTACCCTATCTTGACACCCTGGCAGATCCAACTTTCCAACAAGATAATGCCCGACCACATGTTGCAAGAGTCACAATAGACTTCTTTCAACATAATGATGTCACATTGTTACCATGGCCACCAAGATCTCCCGACTTATCCCCAATTGAGCACGTGTGGGATATGATGGGTAGGAGATTGCTCAATTTGCAACGTCCTCCTCAGACTCTAGAAGCACTTCGAGAGGAGTTGGTGGTTGCCTGGAATGAGATACCACAGGAGGACATTGACCACCTGATCAGAAGCATGCCTAGGCGCGTTGGAGAATGCGTAGCACATCAGGGTGCATCCACACATTATTAAAGGTCAAAGGGCTTTAAAGCAGTGTATTTTGAAATTTTTATCATTTACTTATTATGCTTCATTAAGTACTTATACAAAATTTTATTAAAATAAAACCATTTAAACTGGGTGTTCGGATTTATATGTCACTTAGTACTACTCGTATTTTTAAATGATTTTATTCTCATACCAATTTTGTGTTATTGATTTGACAAGTCAAACAACTCATTATTAGAATCAGAGGGTGCAGGTGATAATGTCTGTGATAATGTCATAGAGTAGTCACATGAGGAGCAACCTGCCATGGGAGATAGTAAACAATCTGAAAATTGCGAATAGTAACTCCTCATAGAACATTCTGAATTCTGCGAAACGGTGGTTTGTGGATGTCTTGATGGCTGCGAAACGGTTTGTGAATGTTCTGGTGGCTGCGAAATGGTTTGTAGGCGGTTGGTAACTAGCTCTACGGATCATGTCAGGATAGTGAACAACTGGCAGAGCATAGTAATTCCTGGTATATTTCATTACATTTAGGATCTCTATTTTAGCGTAATGTTTTTGTTCGTCGTTCAGTTTTTGTAGCATGGGGACAAGCATTAAAGCAAATTGCTTGTTCTCGTCGATAAATTCGTTTTGCTTTTGTTGAAGGATGCTTAATAGGGAGATTTCCTACGACGTTAGTTTTTGTGGTGTTTTCATAGGATGACGCGTTGGAGTGTTCAGTTGATCTTCATTGTTGTCTTGCAAATTAGGACGTTGAGTGGGCGTGTCCTGTTCTTAGACATTGTCGTTCGTATTTTCTATAGGTGCAGTGTTACTACTTGTAGGTCGATCATTCATGGAAGGAAGCAGAAATAACAACAAATCGAAATAAATGTATTTTCGCCTTTTTTTGCACTTTTCACTTTTCGTTGAGCTGCAAGTTCCCTTGCAAAGCAGTCCTTCAGATTCTTCCATTTTTTCTGTATTTCTTTTCCTGCAATATGAAACCAATTACTGTTAAATTCGAACAAACATGTAATTATTATTTTTATTGATACAATTTTTTGTTTCAGATATCTAGCCACTGGTAACAGTTTCAATTCTTTACACTTTGAATAACTAGGAGCTACTACAGTCAGAGAAATTGTTAAAGACATCTGTGGACAAATTTTGAATTTGGGTACAACCAGAGTTTATGCCAGACGTATGCGAAGACAGTTGGTTGAATATTGCCACACAGTTTTATGATAGAACTGATTTTCCAAATTGTATTGGAGCTGTGGACGGGAAGCACATATGATTAAAGAAACCTGACCGGCACAGAGTTTTACAACTATAAAAATTATTGCTCGACAATTCTTCTGGGTGTAGTTGACGCCGACTATTGTTTCATTGCGATAGACGTGGGAGTATATGGTGCAGGCATTGATTCTAATGTTTTCAGAAATTCTAATTTCGGCAAAAGACTAAATAATAAGCAATTAAATGTTCCAAATCCACAAAAGCTACCTAATTATGAAATTTGACAACTTATGCCGTACGTTCTTGTAGTTGAGGCATTCGCACTATTAGAACATGTTTTGCGGCCTTATCCCAGAAGAACCCTAACAATGAACCAACGAGTATGTAATTACAGACTGACTGGCGCTCGTCGGATGGTTGAATGTACGTTTGGTTGGCGTTTTAGCCAACAAATGCCGAATTTTCCATCGGACTATGGATGTAGCTATCGAATTTGCTGACCATATTATCAAAGCATGTTGTGTTTTGCATAATTTTGTGCGGAAAAGGATGGTATACGAGTTGAGGATGCAAAGCTGTCATCCGACTGGAACACGGGCTAACACGTGTAGTCTTAAAATCCGAGATTATTTTGCAAATTACTTTACATCCCCAGAAGGCTCAAGACCGTGGCAATATGATAAAATTTGAACTGTACCGTTTTATAACACCTGAGACTAATAAAGAAACAGCATGAAAATACCTTTCTTTTGTTTTCCCGTTGCAGATAATTCCATCCAATTGCGTATTACATTCATACAAACTTCGCCCCACAGTTTTTCCTTCAAGTTCCGGTCACTATACTCTTTCAGTTGCTTGTTGTAAAGAGCAGGTCTTTTTCCCCCTCGGTTATTATTCTTTCTGTGTCCAAGATACTATCTGGACGGTCATCCCTGGTGGACAATTGGTCGTCGGACATTTTAAAATTAATAAAATCTGCAGCCCACCGCAGCACGGAACAGTCGTTGAACACTGAATTTCTATTAACTAGTCGCAGATGCGTGCACGTTCAATCCTGTCCGTGTGACTTATTTGCGATAATCGTGTCGCTTCTTGAATAGAACTGGTTGCATCTTTTTAGCCGCGGCGATTATTTAGTCGCATATGCGCGCATTTATTTTGTATTAAAAAATTGTGTGTTTGATTTTTGCGACTAAACGATCGTGTGGCGCGTTGGAGAATGCGTAGCACATCAGGGTGCATCCACACATTATTAAAGGTCAAAGGGCTTTAAAGCAGTGTATTTTGAAATTTTTATCATTTACTTATTATGCTTCATTAAGTACTTATACAAAATTTTATTAAAATAAAACCATTTAAACTGGGTGTTCGGATTTATATGTCACTTAGTATATAATAAGGTTACACCAAGAAGGTATTATCATCTGTACACCCTCGTATCGCAGATTAGTATTTATTGTATTTCTCCTTATTTTGTCTGGCCTGGATTTTTTTTCAATGAAAACCAAATTTGTCTGACGGCTTGAGTTCAATATATATATGAGAGAGAAGTGTGTATAGACACATATGTTAGAAAGAGATAGAAGTCGGCTAGATAGCGAACTTAACCATTGCGTTGCTTAGCAGCGCTGACGCTGCAAACTGTCGCACACCCAGTATATTACACCATTTTCTTGAATTAAGATACATGTTGAAAATATGCGTTAGTTTAGTCTCTACACCCAAATAATGGTTTTATGTTGTTTGTTTGTGTCGAATCTGTTTAAGATACATTCTGGATTGGTCCTAACGGCGCTCCATTTGAGATCGAAATGAAAGGTCGGCATCACCACAAATTCTGCAATATTGCATCATTGGTTTGCTTGGCAACACCGCATCTCGTACATTCCAATTCAAGGTTTCCACGTCCATGATCATAGATGAGCGATGATAATTTTTATTGCGTAATGGTATTTGTTACATTTTCCGACCACTCGCTGTCGCAAAATGTAACAAAAATTCACGATGTGTTTTTATCATCATCGGTGGGAATAAAAGATAATTATAAAATAAATTAAAACAATAAGTCGAATCAAAATTGAAATAAACAATTCTAATCAAAATGAAAACAAAATATTAAATTAAATGTTCTACCGGACCTCATTCTTGGGTTTGATAGTAACCTAACCTATTGAAGAAGCATGTGCGAACATGTCTGGTGTAACATATTGGCAATGCGGCACATTGCACGACCTTCTGAGTCACCGTTGCTAGGCAGTCAGGTCATGACCGCTCTTCAACCGGCTTCTATCTCTTTCTAACACGTGTTGATACACAATTCTCGCGCTTCTCTCTCGTACACGTTGAACTCAAGCGTCAGACAAATTTGGTTTTACCAGTAGAACGAAAATTTTTGACTTCCGAATTGCAAATTTAAAACAGGGTGGTGCTACAACTTAAGTGCATTCTGCATAACTATAGCATAAACTCTTCTTATCCAGCAGTCGGTATTTTAATTTAAGTGGATTTCTTAATATAGTATCTCCATATCATTATGGGACTTTTTATGCACTTCTCGATCAATATGAAAAAAGTCGTATTTCAAATTTCCGAAAAAATAAGAAACTGTCATATCCAGAAAGCGCCATCTAGCGCCCACAAACTGGACCAACCTGACAATATTGGGCATTAATTAGAAGCGCAGGTGAATTCCCTTTCAAACGACTTCAAAGTCGGTGCAGCCAAACTGAAGTTATGTGATTTTTTCTGAAATATCCTTCAACCCTTCCGTCACTCTAAGCTAGTCAAAATATGAAAAAAAAATTACAGAAATTGAGCGGTCAACTCGATAAGGCTATTTGTATAACGAGTATGTTAATTATGAATAATAAAATAATGGCCTATGAATTTTCGAAATTGGAATGACGCCACCTAGCGATCATTTTAGGGAACTGGAAACAATTCCCAGCATTTCTCATGTTCGCTTTCATTATGAAATTATTTAGCTGGATTTCTTTATTATTGGCCCACCCGGTATATAACTTGCAAGAATGAATTTGTTATTATCACTGAGGCTTAATATTTTTGCTTCTGGCTATTTATTGTGTGATAAATAAAACAACTTACATCAACTGACTAAATTGCCATACTGCACTATTTATCAAACGTACCCTGTATCAGATCCTACAAGTTCGCCTAGTGTAATGACGTAATGAGTGAATGCTCCGTTTTTTCAAGCTGGTGGTAACATTGGCTGCAATGCGTTGGCCTCATGTCTGAACGCGACTTTAGGCAAAATGAGCATCTAAAAAACCTATAATTGGAATACAGGCAACCAGTAATACAGAATTCACTCCAAGGTCCTGATCATTTATTTGCGTTTTTATTCAGAATATTTAGCTTTGAATATACCTAGGTGACTATCAAATGTGCATAAATCAAATAATTTTTACCATTTACTATATATTTACATAATTCAAACATTCTTAAAATTACAATCAAGTACAAACATTGTTTCATAGATGTCGCTGGGTTGAACAATTTTTCAGGAAACTGCGCTAATGCTTTACGGCATATCTTATCGCATCACCTGAAACAAACTGTCAAGTTATCAACCACATATTCCGTAAATCTTTTTCTATCATCTTTCACTGTGTTGATTTTGGTTTTTGGTTTACGGCAGTGCCCTAAATGTTATTTTTGAGGATGTACCAGAAGGAACATCTCTGCGACTTGTAGTATCTGCTGATATATCGCCCATCTTGCTCTCTTAGGTAGGACAATTTTATGTTTATTATCAAAATAGATTTTCACTTCCAGATGAGACCTTGAATTTGATCATTTCAAGTTCAGGCTTATTCTAATTTCACATAATAATCGCTGATTACACTTTACAAACACCTGACAAGCTTTCTAGGTTAAATGAATGATCATGCCACACACTAGCTCAGTAGAAAATTTGCTCTGGCAGAGCTGGAGAAGTGTTTTTTTTTTCGATTGCGATCAATTAACTCCTTAAATTAGGGTCAAATGATTCGTTCGAGGACAAAACAATAATAAAAACACGTTTTCTCTTCACACATATTTCAAGTTTACCATATTAAAGTGTGTGCGATATCTCAAAATTTAATTGGGTGTCTCAGTTACTCATATACAGGATGATATGAATTAGATTGACGTTAATCAACGAATATAATTTAATGACGTCACTAAATAGGCTTTTTAATGAAAAACTGGATATTTTTCTACCAATTTATAGGTATATACTGTCTGCTTGAAAAACAATAGCAATTTTATTTTGGGGTTGGTAGATTAAAAAAAGTTCCTATAAACATTAGTCCTAAAATGCCCTCTTACCAAGATACAAGGTGTCTAACTATACCAATATAATAGAAAATGGGATATTACAGATGTCAAAAGAAAAATATGTTCACTGACTTTTCTGAACCAAAAATGGGTCTTAAAAAACTATTATACAGGGTGTTTCACAACTTATCTGTCAAGACGGATATCTATCCTGGGCTACTGACAGAGTCATTTAGAACGTTAGTGCAGAAATTTTCCAATTTCTATTTGCATTTTTTAAGTGTTGTGCAACGATTTCGGCAAACATTTTGCTAATAATAAGTAATAAACCTGAGTTTCAATAATACATGAGAAATAAATATCTGTATTTTGCGTTCTTCATCGGCTTCTCGTTTGTATGCACACCAATTTCGGAATAGGCACTTAGCACATCACGAAACATTTAGTTCAGTTGTTTTACGTGAACGTGCTAGAGGAGATTTGCTCCTCAGACGTGGAGTGGATGGGAGTCGGCGGATCGGGTTCGCCCACAACGCGTTTTAAATGCCGAAGACGAAATTTTGGATATTGTGGAAGAAAATCTGGGAATAAGCACAATTCAGTTAGCCCAACAGGTCCCAGAAGTGTCACATGCAACAGCGTGACGCATATTACAGACGTTGCTACCTACAGACTACCCCCTAAGAGTAAGATTTTGTAATGAAGCTATTTTTACTCGTAATTGGATATCCAATCTTTACAATACACACGTTTGGTCCTTTGATCCAGATCGACTGGATGGTCACCAGTATTTGGAATTTTTTCGTTATGATTTGCTGGTCCTTCTTGAAGATGTGCTATTGGCGGTCCGAGCGCGAATGTGGTTTCTGCACGTTGGAGCACCTCCGCATTTTTGTTTAGAAGTTCGTGATTTTTTTAATCAGTTATACCAGATACGCTGGATCGGAAGAGGTGGACCAATTGCATGCCCTCCACAGTCTCAAGATCTAAATCCTCTGGACATTTTTTTATGGGGATACTTGAAAAACGAGGTATACCTTACTCCAGTTCAGAATATTGAAGAATTGCGTGACTGAATCACAGTGGCTGCCGATAATTTGAGCCTTCAGGCACAGCAGGAGGTGTATTTGAATTAGTGTGCCGAAATTGGATTAGACGCGCCCAAGCTTGCATTGCAGTCAATGGAAATAATTTTGAACAGCATTTATAAGTAAGTGAAGTGTTAAACTGTATTATTTTATTATCTCGATTTCTGGAGGACTTTTATTACATTTTTTTTTGTATATGAACTTCTTTCGTAAAAGTGCATATGTGGTTAAAATTTGTCGGATAAGTTGTGAAACAGCCCGTATATGTATAGTATAATAGGGGAATAATCGTATCTCACAATAACATTATTTTAACAATAATCATATGAATCCATTGTCTGCTCAAGTCAAACCACAAATTGGTTGAAAGGAAGAGCAGCTCTTTCTATATGGTAGTAGGATCTAAATCCTGTTTGTCAGGAAAGCAGCTAGAATTTGTTCAAGTTCTACATACTTTTTTTTTGTGTGCTTATCCTGACAATAAAAACCATTTATTATTATTATATGTTTCAATTACTGTTTACTGTATGCACATGTTTTGATCAACATGGTGCCCTTTTTTAAGTACAATGGAAATATATTTTCTTTATCTGTTAATATGTTTTGTTTATGTGATAAAATAAATATATTGTCATTAATTGCCAATGTACTTGAAAAATGTCACACTGCAAAAATTCAATAAAATCACATATTGCATAAAATAATAAGCTATACTTGTGCTTGTATCAATGGATTGCTTGAATTGTACCAATCCCTCAGTGTTGTGATAGGTGAAAACTATGAAAATATCAGGAACAGGGCCAAATAGCTGTTCAAAATATGGATGAAGCCAAAAGAATGAAACTAGATCCAGCATGTTCTTTCCATCCTATTTTACCAGATGAATTGACTGAGGATACACCACTAACAGAAATTTACTATGCTACAATTTCCGATGTCAAGAACACTTCAAAAATAATAGTGAAGCTAAATGACATATTGCCAATACCAAACCTAACCCATTTGAAGAGGATGAATAAAGGCAAAGTACTTCTTTTGCCAATATTGGCTGCTCCATGCAATAAAGTGCTGAATATTCTTAAAGAGAAAAACTTTGACGTATCAACATTGGAGGATGATATTAGAATAGCTAAGGTTGCAAAAATTCCACCTAGAACCAAGAAACAGTATGAGAAAGTAACAAAACTTTGGCCTTGTAACTTTCATCCAAATAAATATCTTGAAAAGCTTGTTACAAATACCCTGTTCTCTCAAAAGGAGTTGAATCTCCACATGAAGTTCATGGAGCTAGCAATAGATGTTGCAAAATATGGAAAAGATAAATCAACTGAGAAGCAACAAGTTGGTGTGGTTATTGTGGATCCAAAGATAGAGTCAGTAGTAGCTGTAGGATATAGTTGTAGAAATGAAGGGCCAACAAGACATGCAGTGATGGTTGCTATTGATAATGTCGCAAAGACTCAAACTGGAGGTACCTGGAGTAAGGCTGATCCGGAGAAATTCAAGGACGGTTTAGGTAAGTCTTTCAATTTTCCAAGTACTGTGTATTAAATGGTTTTTTTCATGGAAGTTCCATTTTGATCAACTAAGATTCAAAACTAAAAAGTTTAATAGAATGTATTTGAAAAATTAAGAGAATAATGTAAAAAAAATTAGTCAGGTAGATTGAATACATGAATTTAAAATATTTGCACCTTTTTAGAAGAACCTTTTAAACTATGTGCAACAATGACCAGAACTATTCTGCCATACTTAGGTATAAGGCAGTACTGTCTAGAAATCGAAGTTTGAGTAAATTGAGTTAAAAATTGTAGACTTTTTCAAACTAAATAAATACTATCATTCCTACAGAACAATACTGACTGAATATTGTAAAGTTACATGACTTTATATAGAGCATTTAAATGCGATTTTGGATCATAACTGTTGTTGAGGCCTACAACAAATAGCATTTTGTGTTTAATTGTCGTAAATCAAAAATCAGTAATCTGGGATTCACTGCTTTTATAATCTGCAAAAACAAATTTACTTCCTTTTAATGTAGTTTTCATAATCTACTTATATTGTTTTTTCAATGGAAAAATTCTGTATTACAGAATTTTATTTTAATGTAATTGATTCATATTGAAATTCACATAAAAAGTAAATCTTTCCAACACCTAATAATTCAATTCAATAAATATATAATTCAATTCAATAATTATAATATATATACAATATAATATTCTAAAAACAGCATGATTTCATATATGTTAATTTAAACGACGACTATTTTTCGAAATCATTATTCCGGCAACAAAAGAAATTATTTATAATGATAAATACTTATTCAGAAATAATAGAATTATTATATAAAAACAAATTATACAGCGAATAAAAGCAGTATAATTTGAAAACTACTCTTTTATTTTAATAAATTGATTTACTGCTTTTATGCTTATAAAATTGAATTAACATGAAATATTTGAAAAAATAAAAAGAATAACTATTTTTGTTAAATAACGTGATCAATGATATATTTTGAAATTGTAATCATTAAAGAAATGTATACGCATCAAAATTCAAAAAAGGCAGTAAGTCCTAAGTGCGTCAGTATTGCTTATTATATTCTACCTGAAGATACCCATATATATTACATTCAGTTGCTTAAAAAGGTATCTGAAAGGTCCTAGCGCCATCTATGAGACAGTAGCAGGACACAAAAATGAATTTACGAATCTACCTTGAAAATAATCCGAGTGTTTGCGGCTACTATTGTCTCATAGATGGCGTTAGGATCTTCAATGATTTTTTGGACTCTGCATGACTATTTTAATTCTCTTCATGTGAAATACGTTCACCAATGCTTGGAGATTCCCAATAAAAATAGCCATTAGAGAGGCGTTGATAAAGGGGATTGAAGATCCCAGCGCCATCCATGAGACCTCGAATTTATTCACGAGCATACATAGCAGTACTCGAAATTTGAACAGTTATTAATTTCCTGCAATTCATTTCTGCTGTTTTAGCGCACATTAGTTTTGCTATTTCAAATGTTTGTTAATGAAAACTAAAACTTTCCGGACACCGTAGCTCGCCGGAAAAATGTTTTGTCTTACTTCAAATGCCTAACAATTCCTTAATTTTCAGATATTAACGGCTTTCCCACAGAAGAAATGCTAGACCACATTAAAGAAACCTACACAGACCTACGTTTTGGTGCTACAATTTTCAAACGTAAAGGCGACTTAGAGCAACCTTCAGACGGACCATATCTTTGCACTGGGTACCAAGTGTATGCTACAAGGGAACCTTGTGTGATGTGTGCTATGGCTTTGGTACATAGCAGGGCCTTCAGGGTGTTCTACGGTACCAGTTCAGAAAATGGCGGGTTGGAGACATTGTGTAAAGTGCATACAGTGCAGGACCTAAACCATCATTATGAAGTATTTGCTGGACTTTTGGGAGAAGAATGTTTAACATTATGATTTTGGACCTAATGTTAACACACCAGTAATAAGGATCCATCATCTTAACATATAACGTAATTTAATTGGGAAGATGTCAATTTTAGTTATCTCAAATGTGACAAATGCAATTACTGAGATTATTAAAGATAGAGAGCTTAACTTAGGACTTCATTGACTGGCCGAATCAAACCACATGTTTTAATTTCTTTTTATTGTACGACGTTTCCGCCACCAAGGTGCCCTTTTCAAACTAACGATGGCAGCATATTTTTATTTATCTATCTTCCAGGTGACAGCTAAACAAAAATATGGCGTCCTCAATTGTCATAGTACGTAAAAAAGGCCACCATGGTGGTCGACACGTAAAATAAAAAGAAATCAAAACATTTCTGGTTTGATTCGGTCATCCAATGGAGCCCTATGAACATGAAAAACACAGGATTAGTTCACATTATCCACAGCTTAATTTATGTCAACTGGTGTAGTAGGTGGCTCTATTTCGGTTGGCGGTGCTGTATCAGGTTATAAACAAGGATGGCAATTGCTGATCAGGTGTTCACTTCACTTTGACAGTTTGGCCTCTTACCATACTAGCGCCGCGGCCGCCTAGCGGGAGCAAAACTAGACATCACTGTCATTGCCTAACTGTAGGTAAAGGTGCGTGGTAAAGTACTCTAATCAGATCAAATATTTGTAAGATTCAAAACTAAAAAGTTTAATGCTACGGTATGATGTGTCGTTAGATATTTTATTTATGATGACTGTAAAAGCATATATATAGATAAGTTGTGACATTGTATTATTCAAGATCCCTAATGAATGTCATCAATGTTGGTTGAACATCATCCAGGTTTTTCACTCCAATTTACTCTGATTTTTTAGCCATGCCCGTTGAAAATTCAATAAAGTTCTTCATTCAGCATGTGTGGTTTGATTTATTGGCCAAAGGAAATGTGATGAATCAGAGAGACAAGCAGAGGATAGGTTTAAGAAATTGCAGTGTTTCTAGCTGTCGAGATGCTTCGTTATTTGGGATTAGCAGGTCAAATATAAGTATGCTTAAATATCTTTTTACATTATATACAAATGAAACATTCAAAAGAATGAAGTTTCAGTTTTTTCCATGTCATTCATTTACCGTATGTCTGTCTGTCCGCTAGTCCTTGGACCGCCTATAACTTGTGAAGTACCGCTCAAATAGTTGAATTGCCGGCGGGGAAAGTGTTCCGTTAATATTATGTCAGAAATATACATTATTTAACAACTTGAGAAATCGTTTGGTAGATTTCAAATCGTTAGCTCGGTAGAATACAACTAACTACTGCCTGTAGGGGGCGCTGCCGAGCAGATGTGGGAAGGGACAATTACCTGTAGGCCAGGAAAATAATGTCTATGGTCTAATTGTATTCGCCTATTTGATTGACTTGATCTGTTCAATCTCCCTGTTGTATACTTTGTAACGGACTTTTTTCTCAGCGGATTTAAACTACGCTGACTTGATCCTTTATGAACTGATGACGGCGTTGCTTAGGAAGTGCAAAGTCAACCTACTTACAACAAATTTCTTGCCGTGCTTGGCCTGGAGCAGCACCACCCAAGTCATAGGGAGACGAAAGGTTAGACGGCAGGCAGACATACCAATAGCATATGATTAACATGTTCTACCTGAAGATGGCCAACCGTGTAGTGTATTTCAGCATCCAAAAAGTTATCTGACTCTCCGCAATAACTATAAACATATAGTTGGTTACGGCGCCATCTATGAAGGACTAACCTTCAAAATAAATTTCTAATCATTGTGGAGAGGAGAAACATAGCTGTGACAAATTCTCATAGATGACGCCTCCCATTTAATCTAGGATGATTGTTTTATGGTTGGCTATCTTTATGTAAAATACGTTAATCAATGCTAATAGAAGTGAACGATACAGTTTCTTGTGATATAGATGTCATGTAAAATTGAAAAAAAAAACAAAATATCTCAATTTCAATTTTTTCCGCGATTAGTGATCCTCGTCAGTTGGCACAGGGAGTAAAACATGATACATCAACATGTTTTCTATGCAGTATATGTGTGATCACAATACTACTGGTTTAGCAGAATATATTATTTTATAGTCGTTGAAGTATCCATCAATACATGTCTCTAAGCTGAGTGTTAATCATTTTCTACGTAACGTTAGAATAACTAATAGACGACCGAACTGAACAAATAAAAACATTTTAATAATTTTATTGGAAATCGTTAGTCTGTTTCAATGACCCCCAATATCTATATAATTCAAGTTGCCTCATTGAGTGCATATCAGAAAAATGAAGCTAGATGGTATGAATCAGATCCAACTGTAAATATTTTTTATATCAGTACCGAGCAAATAGTAATGTTCTATTTATCAACCATTCGCTTTCAGATTGTTTGAGGATTGGATTCAATGTCGTTGTTTTACTATGATTTGAAATATAAACATCAATATATGAAATGCGAAAGGCTTTTGCGGCCATCATCCAATATTATTTGGTTGGTTTTTGGCTTGTTAGGCCGTAGTAAAAATTTTTACTTGACGGGTTTCGTCAACACGAGTCGTTGGCCTCTCAGTAGCTCACAGGACTCGAAACTTCTGAAGATGCCAACCACTCGTGTTGGCGAAAGGTCAAGTAAAAATGTTTTACGACGACCTAACAACCCAAATCCAACCAAAACATTAATATACTTCAATGCATATATTATGTTTCTATATTATCGTTTCACAACTCTTTTTGATTTCGAAATACATTTCCCAAATTACCTCAACAAGTTTTCGTCCACTCGTTACAACTTGCGACGAAAATAGAATGTCTCGAGTATCTGCTAGGGATACACCGAGTACTCAAATTGTACCCGGTACTCGGCATTTTACCGAGTACCCGGTTTCGCCGAGAATTGAATTATTAATCAATTAAGACACACCTTTTGTAAATCATGTAATTATAGATCTGACGTACAAAGTCTAAGCTGATATGGCTTTCCCATACCGTCCTAAAATGTTTCCAAGAAACCAGCGCACCACCAAAAAAAATATATATCCACTGTTTAATACTTCTGTAGAGATCTCTTACAATTTTAAAAAAATACAGTATTTCCGTCAATATATTCTAAGAACGAAATTTATAAACGGAACACTTTCTTTGCCAACACGTGCTGTTATCCCATCTGATGTCTCGTCTAACGTCTAATTTGTTTTTGCGTAACAGCCTTGACGTCGACTGACGTCATAGGTGACAAAATTTCGCGTTTTCAGTATTATAAATACTCGTTCCGCAGAATTTTTCGCAATGCGGTAGTTTCAAGTCGCTCTGTGCAAATTGTCGTATAGGCCATTTGGTGGTTGAAATACAGTCTCAGAATAGGCTCTCTCACTTTGGACAGATTGTATTTATGGAAAGCTAGTAAAAATTGGAGTTTGTTAAATCCAAGGCTCCAAATCCGTCGCATCCGGCATAATTGCAGGGAATACAAACAGCAAGTAGAAACTAATAAGTGGTATACTACAATCAAGCACACTTTTGTAGTTCGCGTTCAACCTTATGATCGATCATCGGTTAGTTAAACTATATGGATCAAAAACATTGACATTTTTGTTTATTTGCAACTTTTTCCTGAAAAGTGTTAACCAAAAATATTTCCTTATCTGTAAACTGGGGATGAAGGCTCGATTCTTAAACACATCTGAATGCTCTTTAGAACGTTCCAATCAGTGGTCATACTCGAACTTAACGCCCCAAATTACTTGGGATTTATTTTGTAGGAACACAACCACAGATTTTGCACGGGAAAGTCGTCTAGACTTATTATAAAGCCCAGAGTTTGCATTTTGCCGTTTTATACATTTTTGAGATATATTTCCATGATTTTCTGGCCAAATGAATGCACATATGCATAAATTACTTTTTATTGACGATTCGGGCGTCAAGTGGCCTTTTTCAAAGCAAAAATTGATGATAACGAAATCTAATTTATATTCATCTGATATACTTCCAGTATTCCTCAAAGTACGAAAGTAGATGTTTACTGTCGAAATTTCTCTCAATCCATGCCCCTGTTGGAAAGAAATATATGCTTGATACAATTTTTGAATACAATTTTAGCATATTTAAAATCGCCTACAGGAAATAAAATTTACGCAATTATATCATAAACACTCGTTGCTGAATCAGTTAGAACATCATATTACATGCGGTATGTTTGGCATAATTCACGATTTTCATGCAGTAGCGTATCTAAACGATTTTTTATATTATAGTAAAGATATTTTCCATGCATATATTTTTCATATTTAAATGAACAACAACATTCAACATTCTTTGACCAATGAATTAAAATGCCTGAAAACGAATTCTTATGACAAGCTGATGAGATTCAGTTTTTTTAAGCAACAGGAAGTTTATTAATATATTATACTCGATTATATTATGAGAATGTTGAAGTCTGGAAGTTATATTGTATAAATAACGTTATCAAAATACCCCCCCTCAACTGTTCCTAACATTTTTCGACTAAAATTTTCGGTAAGTTTGGCACAACTGAAGCTCAATTTAATCGATTACTTAGGAAGTGTTTTGCTACGGGTCATGAATCGTCTTCGGGTTATCCACAAAAAGTGTTGGGTGGGTTTAAAGTGGCATGATCCCGCAAGCCTGCGGACATTTATACTGCGAGAAATCACAGGGCCATCAGGAAAACGTGTCTGTAGCAGCCCCAATGTTATGCCACATAACCCCATCTTGTTAAAAAAACAGTTGTTAAGGTGTGTACTATCATTGATTCACGTATTGCACCTGATTATAGCCAACTATACACTATTCTCTCGTCCACAAAGGGGGGGGGGGGGGGGGGGCGTATAACCTTCAAATTTGAACCCCTACAAGAATTTGTCCGGGAATGATCTGTAGCCTCTGAAACGTCAAAAGCAGAAGTTTGAGTTATTTTTATTTTTTTCGTTTTTGTCCCGCGCTCCGCCGCCACTGGACCGATTTTACTAAAAACTACAAAGCTTTTTCGTCCTTAGCACACTAGTAACCGTGTTTGAAAATTTCATCGAAATCCGAGTGATACTTTACAAGTTGTAGAGGTGTCAAGGATTAACTGACAGACAGGTCGACAGAAATGAGTGACAGGTTTTCGTGATCTCCATGTCATGTAATATCCAAAAAACATGAATGTTGTGTTCGTCTTGCAAGTGAAGTAGCTGTCCAACAAGAGATGAGCCTATTAGGATCACTTAATGTCTGGCTCACTTTAAAAAGAACTGCTGAGCGATGGTGCTTTTCATGAGTTTCCATTACGTTTTGACGTCTACTGAGGTAAACAACTGATCAGCAGGTGGCATCTTTGTATCAAAGTCTATAGTGTTGGCAATAATGAATCGGGTAAAACTAAAAACCGTACCGACACCGACCTGTTTATACCAAAAAGTCAAACATTGTTTATCTTACCTATCATGAGCATCAGCAGCCATTTTGCTTATAGCATTTTTTCCTGTGTGCCAGGAAAGTATTCTTAATAAAAGCGTTGTTAGGAAGTATGAATCCCTAGCGTACAAAAGACCACAGCAAAATACGACTATCGTTGAAAGATCCATCAGAATTGTGTGACTTGGGGTATTTTGACATGTTACCAGATAATCAGCTGGTTATTTGTTGTCACGTTTGACGTCATGAAGGCTCGTGAAAAAGACCATAAACTTCATCAAAACACAGCCTAAAAAATTGATTTATCTTGGAGCTACATTAAGCCGAAAAATGGCGCTAAATTTAAATCTCCAAGTACTTAACTATGTTGACAATCTTTAGCTCGTTATGCATTTAAAAAACATTCTCGCAATATAAGGCTCAGGGATATAAAATATAAATACAAATCGGCCATCTAATTAGATAAAAAAGCACAGAAGCAGCAGCGCATCCAATTAAAGATGACAATCTTTCGACTTGACAAACTTTTGGGGTTTTCAAAACCTGATTTTAACAATACACGTTATGCAGTCGAATATAATAACAATTAATTAACAATAGTCCTAATGTATTAACTAGGTCGGAGTTATTCGATAGACTGGTAACGTTTATAATCCATGAGCTAACACGAAGTTATAATAATTGCTCCAAACAAATCTTCAAGTACACAACGTTTTCGTAGACGTTATCTGTGTCAAGTACATTCTCATTAACTAGTGATACAGCATTGTCAAAAATATGAAAATACGGTAAAATTTTCCAGCGATTTCTAACGTAACTAACATTCTTTCTAAAAATTCCAGATATCCACAGGATGCCACGTTAACATTGGGAGTACTTAAATATTTAATCTAAATACCCTATAAAAATAGATAAAATTGTTTGTCGTATTATTTCTGTCAGATGAACCGATGCTTCTTATCAGTCTCTTAATTTTATTGATATAATAGTTGCGTTTATGTACGTATGATACAGAAAAAACGTAACCTTATTTCCAAAATACCTCAAAAATAAAAAAGTTCTTATCCTAGGTCCTAAAATATCTCATTACGAAGATACATGGTGTTGCAAATTTCTACGTCACTAATTAGAGTCAATAAGGACAAAACTTATAAAAATATACAAATAATGCTATAATGCTATATCTATTGGTTAGGATTAGTTTTATTGTTATTTGCTTTTAATCATTTACACTTTCCGTATAATTTTGGTGTGAATGAAATCAGACTACCAATTCAACCAACTGATTTGTAATTTCCCTAAAAAGTTACTACAAAACTATACTGTTGTCAGATGTAACTGTTTTTTTTATACTCCAACTACCATGAAGGCCTAAGGCCTAAACACCCATTGGGTACCGTGGGGCTATAGGGAGATACAGGGGAAAGGGGGAACGCCACACGGACTCTGGCGAGGGAACACGTGTGCATGCAACATGCACACATTCTGGCTCCGCTTACGAGATCCGCCGTGTGGTACGTCCGCGTTCGACAGTCAGAGACCGCCTACCACCTACGACCCTGTATTTTAATGTTTCCACCCCATCAGCACCCTTATTACGTAACTGCAAAATGCTAGGGACAGCGATATGATCGCTGTAATTGTAACTAGCTAGGATTCACATTATGTTCACTTGTAGTAGCTGTGTGTCTTGCCTAAATGTCAAGATACTTGAGATATTTGCTGTAACGCTGACGTAACGTAACAACTGTGTTAGAGTTTTTTTTCACGGATGATAATTATTGCAAAATTTACAGTCGTAAATATTCCGAAAATTTTAGCTGTCTTTCTACACGCGAGTGAATTCTAGTGTAAATATGGAACATTTTCTCTAAAACCCGTATTAAACATAGACAAATATTAAAAGTTCTGCAGTCATTTATGTAATACGCCTGCGCACTAGGGTAATATTTTGAATAGACATTATCTTGACAATAGCCGTTGTTGTCAAATATAATCCAATAGAACGCCGTCGTTGAATACCAGATTTTTATATTCTTTGAGTAGTGGTATTAACTCCTCGCGATTCTAGGTTATTATTTAATCAACCCATCGAACTTCAACCCTTCAAGACAAGATCACAGAAAGATAGTATATTGATGTTACGTTGTTGTTATGTACCTTGCAAAAATAGACTTATGCGCCGATTCTCGCGCATATTCTTTAGAACATGTTTTATATTTTCATGGTGAAAAATTTTACTGAAATTCTTTTACGTGTCAACTAACGAACTCAAGACTAGGTAGAAGGAGCAAGTCTCTGATTTGTTTGTCTACAAAATCACACAGTCTGTAGTCAGGATGAAAGTTCCTACTACAAGTCGATCAGACTTAGTTTGGCCAGTTTGGCAGTTGTTGACATTTGACATGGAATTCGTATTTTTCTTTGAAAACATATAAAAGTGCGCGGGTTCCATACAACTCTGTTGTTCCAGACAGTTGTTGAAAATCGTGAAAGTTTCCGTGGAATGCAAAAAGGCATTTAAACATAACAAACGATCAATAAATGTTAATATATTATAATCGGCATTGTGAAAGGGCGTGTACTTAAACGTCGTGGGCTTTTACCTGTACAGTTGTGAGGTAATTTTGATTTATTTCTTTGAGCGCTCAGTCTGAATCTACGGCTTGTTAACAGGAATGGGCAGCAACATTGAAAAATGAAAAGAATTGAAGACAAACTAAATTTTTTGATGGACAGTGAAAAGGTCCAACTGAAACTTTACCTTTCAGTCTTTCATACTTTAAGTTTGAATCTAAAAGTTCTTAGGAAAGGTCTTTACTTTCACGTTTAAAATGGGAATTTTACCTTCTCATTTTGTTGCCACGAGGCTCTAGTGAGAAAGCTCAGTCCGGGACCAAAAAAACTATTAATATCAAATTAATTAAATGATTTCCAAATATTTTTATTGAATAAATATAGCGACGGTGAATTTCCATATGCTCAATCAACTAGGTATTTTCTTTTAAAAAAAATCTGATCGAATCACAAAAACCAAGTAAAATTGAAGTAAGGTGTCCCACTATTGAATATTAAGTATTCTGGCATTGCTGCTCTATATTCGTATTTTTCACTTTCCAAAATCACGAATTAAGTAGAATTGTTCTTAATAAATATTTACTTTCGCTTTCTTGCATTGTTAATTTATCCATATTTATTAACAATAAGTGAGCAATTCTCATCGCAATGCAGATATTTCTGCCCTGCTAAATGTAAGTATACCTAGTTAGTACGATTGGCTACTTGTATACCTCTCCAGAGAAAAAAAAAGTACACCGATGTATTGGCATCTCCAACGAGCATTTCACTTTGGTAGGCAATAGTAGACAAATTAGCATTAAAACTATACTTTTGGGGACAATCAATGCAATGTAAACATATATGCTTGGCTCCTAACCTATTCGAATTCCTTGGTGTCAACCGATTCCCACATGACATAATTAAGAACGTATAATTTTTGAAGTAATTGTCCTCCATGTAAAATGGCTCTTAAAGATGGAACTAGTAGAGGTCATTTATAGCCTCTATGACCTAAACAGTAAGTTCTACACTATAGATCGTTGTACCATTCATCGCTTGGTGGCGTGCGAGGACGAGCAACTATCTAGTATACAAGTGACAAGTATATAGCGATCAGCAGGGGTATTACGTATCTTGAATTGTGTCGTTTTTTGTGGATTTTTCCTATAAGATGTCAACTTGAAACTAGCTGTTGATCACTTGGTGGGCACTCGTTGTGTAGCGTTGCGCACTTTTCCTTATACATCCTGGAAATTACGTATGCAAATTTGCTGAATTTAAAAAATGAGTGAGATAAAGTGATGGTGATTAGCCGTAATGCTTCTCAAAGTTTATAACAACGCAAAAAACCGGGGAAGATCATAATTTATAACTTCATAAATAACTCATCTGGTACAGCTGTTAGATATAATTCATGCGCATCATATTCAGTAATAATTTTCTCACATAGCAAATATCACTGATTTTAAAAACATGGCCAATACACACAATCACCCATATGCGATCTGAACATACTACTCTGCTACTCATCCAATTTTCTTTCTGTTACATCCTCACATCACAAATATAGTCTACAGACTATTTCGACATTCTGTAACCAACAAAGCACGCTTGCCAACTGACTTGCAGTATGGTCGTTGAGCATATCGTTGAGTGATTCCTCCATAGGGAAAGCTCACAGCAAGCAATAACGGAATGAACTATTTGCAAACTAGCAGCTATCTAGCCAGCAAGTTAACATTTTGTCGTTTTTTTTCACATTATATAGGTTTTTCACGTAATAAACCTGCAGGTCACTATCCTAGTGATGATTTTACGTAATGTGGGCGCGGATAGGTGCAACAAAAACTCAATTTGAGGTTGACCTAAAAACTCGGATCACCTTTGCTGAGTGGTAGATTTGAGAAAGGCGGTGCAACCTGGCAATATACCCTGGTCTAAGACTGAAAGAAAGTAGCCAGTTGGTACCAGTTTAAGCAATGCCTACACAAATGCACTAATAGCACGTTATTGTCATTTCAGTATCTGAATGCATTCGCGGCCCGACCGGCGTCCCTCTGCGTTTACAGTGCCGTCTGTGGTGGTGGTGAAGCCCTCATCCGCTGATCCGTTTCGGTTGCGTCGTCTCTGCGGATTCTTCATCCAGAAGAGGGAGAGGAAGAGAGGATTGATTTAAACTGCTCGGTTTGACAGGTATTTTTCGTATTTTGTGATCATAAACGTAGGAATAGATCTAGGGAAAAAAGTAGGTCAAAAAATGACAAGTAATGTTATGTATAAACTTTGTTCCTAATATTCATCCATATTGAGATATTGGGTGTTGAAGTTATATATATACGAGTATATACAATTTTTTTCGATTTCGAAATTGTAACTATACATATCCGGAGTGGATTAAGATATTGCCTTAAAATTTTGTATGTGTATACATACAAACATTTTCGTGCCTAAGACTAAACCAATGGCTTAGGAATTGGGAAATTGTGTCCCTATAGATAATAAAAGAAAATTATTTTCCACGCCACTGTAGAAAATCTATTGCATTTTTAACGAGGTATCCAATTTCACATGAATCGCCTTTCCTGACAAATGTTTGTCAGTATGCCCTTATCACAAAAGAAGAGCGGGAGGGGGTAGTACTTCCAGCTTTCACTAAACATCAAATATCGGTTCTTCGATTTATTAGAACATCTGATCACAGTATCTGATTAGGTTTTGTCGACCAGTTAGGAGTTCGAACAAAATAAAGTCGAACTTATCAGCCCAAAAATACAAGATAAATCAGAGTTTTTAGGGTCCCTATCTGGGGAATATTTTTTGACCTCATATATATATAAAAATGAGTTGCCTTAAAAATGATGAGAAAAATGAGGTATAGAATTGCATGATTTTATTTTGTTCACAGTGAGAACCGCGGTCTTATGTGTTTGCGAACATATATGCGTAAACGATCGATGAAAGTCTTATGAAATGTCCGAACGTTTGAAATATCTTAAACATTCTTGATGTTGGAATATGATCAGAATCGAGTTTCTTAGCTCATTTCATCTTCAAAACATGGCAATAGATCCTCAAGTATGCCCACGTACAGAATGATGAAGGTTTTTTTTGGACAGGAGAATGTTTTTATAACTACTCTCATCAGGGAGAAAAGCTCGACAGCACTGCCCTGTCTGCCTTTTTTGCCCGAAGTGTGAGAGTCTCCAAAATGCGACTCACTGAAACCCGTCAGCCGTACGCTATACATCCCATCACGGTAATGCTTGCTGCCTTTCGTCATTGTGGGTAGCGATGCTTTAAATATTCATATCAAAGGTATTAGTAATCCTGTTGTCGTACTTATATGTACAAGTCGGGAAGTAAGAACCGGTTACTGGTTCCTTGGTCGATTTTTATTATTCTGTACCTCACCCAGCATCATCCGCCTCACTGTTGGTTGAATGTCAAGCCATTTGACCTCTCTTACATGCAAAACTGTCAGCAGTGAGCTTCTCGTCTAGCGTCAATTATATAATAATAAATAATAATAATAATTATATAATAATAATATTATCTAATCTATCTCTGTGTACCAAATTTCTTCCAAATCCGTTCCGCCACTTTGGCGACTTTGGTGATTGAGTAACAAACATCCATACTTTTTCATTTATAATATTATTAGGGATCGACTGTCTATCTTTATTGTTCATGGTGTCTTATTAAAAAATATAACTTTATTTGATAGCATTTTTCTGAGTATACAAAAAAGACATTACATGAAAAACTATATTAGTTTTTATGACATTTATATATTTTTTTTTCTACACGGCCATACAAAAAATGTAGAAGGAGGTTAATTTAGCGAGACATCCTGTTTAAGCTCTAAAGTGTCTGGCGGAAGTTATGGGCAGCGGTAACTGACTGGCTGTGCTGGATATTACTATGTCATAGTGTTCCAAAAAGTATATACGTATAAAAATCAACCATCAGGATGCAAGTTAAGGCAGTTCTATTTTTACTTACTTTTCTCACCTGCTACCTGTCAATCGGCCGTCTTCCCAAACTTAGCAGATACGTAGGCGTTCAAAGTACGTATGAACGATACTCTTTGCCGTACTATTTGTCCTTCAGTAAAATACGATACCACCGCTCCTTTGTCCCGAGGAGGTCAAGATTGTGGAAGTATCTACAAGAGGAAGCTTTTCCCAGTTTTACTAACCTTGGGAAGTTCAAAAATCGGATTAACAAAATTTCTTTGGGGTCATCATAGCAGCCGCGGTGTCCCGGCATTTAGGCTTCTGCCTGCGCGGCTGCTTTGGTATATACTCGTATATATAAAAAAATAAGGTTACTCTATAAATGGTTTTTTACTTTAAAGAAATAGAAGACCTTACTTTTGGGATCACCCTTGTATCATTTAATTTTTTTAATACAAACTTCAAATGACTTTCAAGAAAAATATATTATATTTACGTTATTTTTTCGTTAGTGCATTTGGTCCACACCCAAGGTGGATAAGTTGTATGACCTTGAAATCTGATCTTGAACTGAAACACCTTTTGATTTATTTGAAAATCGCATTAGACTTCCGGCTTTAATACAAGTACTGGAATGCGAACGATTTGCAAATTAAACTTATGATTTCACATTCTGTTGCAGGCCCCTCAGCAACAACAACCGCAGTAGCTGCGTATCTGCGCCCTGCTTTGCGCATCATCTTCTCAATTGGCACCAATTCAGGCAATTTACCGGCCGCCGAGGAACGACGATCGGCCCATCGTGCCTGTTTATCTGTTTGTCACCAGTTAGCAGTCCCGAATCTTCAACCTAGCGCGTCGGCCGTCGCAGTAGCCGTTTGCGTGAAGTTAGCCTCCGCTACGCGTGGGAGTTTCGCCAAAACGGCCTGAGCGAGCCTACTTGACGGTTAGTACCAAAAGGATATTCTTACTTGGCAGCGGTTTGCGGAAATCCACAACCCAGCTACTTGCATCCATAAATAAAACTATGGTACTGAATATGGTAGATAACCATCGGTAACAGCATAATTAGAATTTCATTGTAATGTTTCGACTCTTGCTCTAAAAAATCAACTTTATTTTGTCTTATGGAAGCCAGATTGGAATTTTGCATATGCGACTAGAGTTTTTAATTCCGCTTCTAAAAATGTATAATATGTCATAACCTTGACACTGCCAAATCTTAGTTATTTCATATAACTAATATTCTCATAGTTGTCCTTGAAAATGACAGTCTTGAAATTAGCAGATAGTCATTTGTTTCATAATGTCATTAGCTCAGTATTCCCTCAGCTTTTATGGACTAGGCATAGATAAGCAGTTCCTATTCCCGGATTTAATGATGTGATATTCTACATACAGGGTGTTCATTTGAAAACTTTCCATCACGGATTTATCGAAAACCACTGATTAAAATAAAAAACGGCGAGACCCGTCAAAAGATTTATCAAGGGGGACAACTTTATAACCAAAAACGACTTCACCCCCTTTCACCTTCTGCCCCCCAGGGACATTCCCTTGAAAATTTTAGACGACAAGAGGTATCGAGTAATAGCTTGTTTGAAAGGTCTTGCGAAGTCGTTTATTTTGACGCTTGAGTATTTAAAATCGGTCGATTCGTTTTCAAGAAAATTAGAAAAATCTTTGTCTATCTCAATTTGATCAGATGGGAAACAAAAATACACGAAAATATCACTTTTTATTTCAATAAGTGTTCAATATGTTGCCCGTTATTGGCCAATCAATGATATAGGCAATGTTCAAATTCCTGACGGACATTTTCAGAAACATGTGGGATAACATGGCAGCTTTCGATGATGTATTGACGAAGTTCATCCAAACTTTCAGGCTGTGGAGTAAACACAACAGATTTCAAATGACCCGATAGAAAAAAGTCTAATGGCGTCAAATCATGAGATCTAGCAGGCCATTCTATAGGAACTCTTTGCCCTACCCATTTATAAGGAAATCGTCGTCTGGCCATTGCCGAACCGGAAGAACGTAGGAGGAAATATATTTCAGCCTCATCAAGTATAGGGTTTCCATCCTCTTCGATTTGGTTTTCAATGGTTACACTGATAGGCGGATTGATGGTATTTTCCAATATATCCAAATAAATGTCTCCATTCAAATTTCCATTAATAAATAATGGCCCAATCACTTTGTTTCCTAAAATGCTTGCCCATACATTAATTTTTGGGGGTACTGGGTATGCCCTTCTACAAAAGCATGAGGATTTTCATTGGTCCAATACCTGCAGTTATGCTAATTAACAAATCCATTTAGATAAAGTGCATTCATCACTGAAGCAGATATGCTTTACATGAATGGTATTATCATGAATAGCTGCAGTCATTTGTTCAGAAAACTCAACTCGCCTATCGATATCATCTTGGGTTAACTCTTGCAATATTTTCATCTTAATGAATAACATTTATGGAACTTAATAACTGTGTGTACAGAGCCTAATGAAATACTAGTCGCAGCAACAATTTTGCGTAATGAAGTATTAGGATTTATTCCAAAATGACCAAAACTTCAACTTGAGCGGCTTCATCCAAAACTCTCCGATGATTACGTTTTTTATTTGCAACAGATCCAGTTTGACTAATTCAGTAACAAGGTCCGAAACATACCTATGCGAAGTTATCTGCCCCAGATGTCAGGCATTAAACGTGATGGCAGTTTGCCAAGCACATTGATTTTGGGCACCATAAATTAGAATCATTTTTACTCTTTCGGATAGTGTGTTAACCATTTTCGAAGTGAAATCTGAATTAATAAATTAATTTCCAATATCCCAAGATTTTTACAAAGGTATCTGACAGCAAATTAAATTATTTCTTTCTCTTAGCAACAAATAACTAAACAGGTACAACAATATATACAGTTTGACCAGGATATGTGTGTTGATGAAAAGAATGCGGAATAAAATTCGGATTCTTATTTGGTTGTTGTCACGTCTAATTTTCCGAATTGCTGTTTATGTTGGTAGTTTCCGTTTTAAATTATAAACGTATTGTAGATTTGGCAAAACCTAACGTGCAACATTTTGAACACTTATTGACATAATATTATATTATCGTGTGTTTTTGTTTTCTATCTGAACAAATTAAGATGGATAATATTTTTTAATTTTCTCGAAAACGAATCGACTGATTTTACAAATCAAACGTCAAATAAAGCACTTCGAAGTACCTTCCAAACAAGCTATGTATTACTCGATACCCCTTGTCATTTAAAATTTTCAAGGGAATGACCGAGGGTGAAAGGGGGTGAACTAGTTTTTGGTTTCCCATTTGACAAATCTTTTGACCTGTCTTGGCGTTTTTTCTTTTAATCAGTGGTTTTCGATAAATCCGTGATGGGAAGTTTTCAAATGAACACCCCCTGTATGAGATGAATTGATATTATAGAATTTCAAATGACTAAACAAGTTATCTTCCTATAGTTTGCCTGAATCCATAGAATCAAGATGAACATAATGCTAAAATAACTGTTTCGCACTATTTAAGGATAATATTGAAAATAGTATAAAAGAAACAGAAACATTTCAGTATAACTAAAGACCTCGACGATGTTGCAGGCTGCTAAACACATTTCATATCCTCCATATCGAGACAGATGCACATCTTGCATTCAAATACATTAATATTAATGTACATTTGAGTAGTAAAATAACGCTTGTTATCGTCAATGTATTGGCATATTATCTGAACGTCATTTAAACACGCTTCTCAAAATTTGAAGGAATCTTTGATTGGTTATGTAATCCAATAAACATGTGACAAACTCCCACTTTTAAGTCAAACTATGAAAATATTCGTTTTTTTATAACTAAGGTTTGGTAATGTCAATGTACACACCCAATTTATTCATGAGAGACAAGGTTGTTTGAAATATTTCTCGCTGGACATTAGATATGCTGTGTGCCTATACATTTTCAGAAAGAATGAGGTTAGTCTTGGCTGACTAGCTAAGATCCTTGTACAGGGTCTGGCAGGACCAACTATACATTTTCAAAAGGCTATAAAAAAGACATGATATCCCAGTCACCACTGTGACACTAGAGGCTGGCGATTCTGGCGCTATAGTAGATGTGATCCACTCGCCATTGAACAAACTGTGAGAGTGGTCGATTCTGGTAATAGATGGCACTTTGCGCTGTCTTATTTAGATAGATCTCATTCCTCGAATAGAGGATAGTTGTTATGCTTTCGTTCGTTATCCCAGAGACCACGCCTAGACCATACTGATGAGTTGCCATAAAGCATGGAACAGCTGTCCGTGGTTGGCTGTCTAAAGTCCGATGGACGAAAGCAGCATGTTTAGTTTGAGCAACGGCGAGTAAACCACATCTACTACACCGCCAGAATAGTCAGCCGCTAGCGGTCACAGTGGTTGCCAAAAAGCACGAAACAGCTGGCCATGGTTGGCTGTCTGTAGTTCGGTGTACGCAAGCAAGATGTTTAGTTTGTTCAACGGTGAGTAATCCAGAATCGTCAGCCACTAGCGGCCACAGTGGTCACTGAACTATCAAGCGCGAACTGAGATAGTAACAGTTCCAATCGATAGCTGCTTTACACTCTTGCAAAGGCCGATTCTGATAGTAGGTGGCGCTTCGCGCTGTCTTATTTCCACATTCTTATATAATTGTTCGAAACCGGTTTGTTGGTACTACCTCACTCTGTACAAGGATCTTGAGGCTGCAGCTATTATTTATATATATATATATATGCAGTGCTTTTCTTTAATGTCCATTGACCATTTTAAAAATAGTTCAAACAGTATCTAGCACTAAAACCGAAAACTAAATAAGAATATTTTTAACTGTACAATGATGTTTGTTTTCGTACTGATATTCTTGTTACTGTCAACAAAAAATAACAAAACAAGTTTTTTATCGCTGTTGCTGTGGATACGGCAGGGAATTACAATTATTTGTACAGATATGCATGTTAGTGGGTTTGTGTTCAAGTAATTATTAAATGTACCACCATTTTGTAGTAGGTGAGGTATTGACTTTATATTCTAGGGTTATACAGTACTCGTCATTAGCTTCAAAATGATGTGCCACAAGACTCCCGGTTTCATATATTTTTTTAAGCTGGTACCCAGCAGCCATATTGACATTTTCATCTGCCAATTTTACTCTAAAATATGGTATCCACCCATCAATTTCGTTACCTCAAGTTTTAATTTTTTGAATTGATCCGTTCAAAAAATCAAAGGGGAGGGGGACATTACAGACAATCACTGTGTATTTATATATATATATATATATATATATATATATATTTCCACAAATTTTAATTTGGATTTCTATCATTTCTAGGTCGGCCATACTGTCGTCCGCTTCGCCTCCATCCCCGCTGCACCATAGGGGTCGCAACGAACACCGTCTACATCAAAGTGATTGTTGTATAGATGGATATTGAATCGTTCTTCTTGCAACATAAAATGCTCAACATCGTCAAATCCTCGTTCGTCCTGCAGAATCATCGGCAGTGCGAGACGACAGGCATCAAAAAGTTGTACAATTCGTTCTTTGTTATGTTCTAAGAGCCTGTCCGTATCCTAGGAAACGACAGACGCATCTGCTGCCGCCTCATCAGCGTAGGGACAGTATAGTAGGTGTGTACAAATATGCTGATTTTTGTTTTTACATTTGGAAAAAAACGGATATAAATCAGTACTCGTAATTGGCGCCTTATGCCTGGTTGCACCCCCATTCTCAAATCTACCACATAACAAAGGTGATCAGAATGTTTAGGTCAACTGAATTTTGAATTTAAAATTTTTATTCCCTCCACACAATTTTATGGCACGTATATATTTGCTCACATTATGCATGCGTTACAGAACCTAACCAAGATTATGTTGTGCTATTA